CATTGTGTAACCCTAATTTTTTCCTTGGAGCTTCCCTATCGGTTGGCCACATCGATTGATTTTTAGCTATTTTTTCATACAAATCATAGGCCTCATCGACATCAAATTTCATAACCAATCCTCCCGCTGAAGCATCTATCATATTCCTAAACTCCTATTTTAGACCGTAGTAGAAGAGATATTGCCGAACCTGCTTAGGAATGTCAAAGTTGGGGCATTTTATGAAAAAATTCTTGAACCTCTCCCATGCTTCAGGATAGCTCTCGAGATCTTTTTGTTTGAAAGTGTAGACTTCATTCCTAATTTGGTGAACTCGAGAGGGTGGAAAGAATTTCATGGTGAAGGGTAATTGTAGCAAATTGATTATTAAAAGGAGGGTATAATTGTCTTTTCATTTCTTAATGTTTCTATCAAAAGCACTGTTATTTGATAAATGCTTTGAGAATTTAGCCCTTATTTGATGGCCATTATTTGAAGAATATAATATTTTGAATAGTCATTTTTAAGAGAATGTGTGGTTAAAAAATATGAGAAAATTTGAGTTTACGTGCTAAATATTTTATTGTATAAATTTATGATTAAAAATGAGTATATATTGTCAAACAGGGTCTTAATCACGATATTAGAGCTTCATTATTTCTAGATTATTTCTATATTCTTGATAAGTGTATTTTATACACTTATTTCATTCATTAAACTAGAGCAATTTGTGTTATTTAGGATGAACTGACGCTCAATTTCATACATATTTCATTTGTTAGGTGTAACTCGAGGCAAAACAATGAAATTGGACAGAGCGGGAAATTTGCTGACTTGAGACTAATCAAAAGTTTGGGGACTAAATCGCGAAGTATCAAAAGTTGATTTGGACATGATGTTAATGATTGAAGAAGAGCAAGAGGCAATTAAATGGTGTTAGAAGATGAATGATCGAGAAGATGTCATATATGGATAAAAAGGAACGAAGAATGAAGTATAGGGACCAAAGTGTAAAACATGGAAAAATTTCATAACGGCGCGCGCGCATAGGCTAAAACTCTCGCGCGCTCAAGGGGTTGAATTTTATAAGTATAACGTAGAACCAATAGGCGCTCTCGCGCAAGGAAATATACCTCGCGCGCGCGGGCATTTTTCGAGAAAAATCGGGCATATTTCTTTTTTGACACAAACTCTTATGGAAACAAAATCAATCATGCTATTTAACCTAGGACGAAGACCAGAACGGCTCCTTCTTCTGCTGGACAAAAAAAAGAGGCTTGCAAGGAGAGAAAATCTAAGAGGCAAAAATCAACAAGGAATTGCATGAAGATCGACAACAATTGGGGGAAGAATTAACGCTACACAACTAGTTTTTTCTCTTATTCCCTACTTCTTCTCCATGTTTTTTATTGTGTATTTCATTATGTCAATCAATTCAGTTATGAACTAAACTTTGAGATCTAGGGCTTGACATAACCTATTTAAGACATGTTTTGATTCCAATACAGTTATTTCCTTTGATTTTCCTGAAATTTATTTATGTTCTTCTTGCTTAATGCTTTCAATTGCTTGATCAACAATTGAATGATTTAATACTTTAAGTTTACTACTTGAGAGAGGGAAATTTAGGTGTGATTTAAAGAATGACATAACCAAAAATTCGTAGGTTTCGAGAGAAAGTACGAATCTTTGAAGCCAATTCAATTCAAGAATCAGATAGTTGATAATTTCCATATGTTTAATTCGGAATAGAGATATTAGGATTAAAATATAGAGATAAATTCTATTTGGCGCTCGAGAGAGGGAATAGAGTTAGTTTAGGATTCTTGCCTATAAATTCGAAAAAGAATTGATGGAAATAGCTATAGAGTTTGAAAAACATCGTCGAGAATATGGTGAAATCATTCCCTAGGCATTCATACATCTGATCAAATTTTGAGAAATTACTTCATTTTATTTGCATTCTTTAATCCAGATATTTTAATTTAATATAAAATCATCCATTTAACATTTGATTATCTAAATAAAGTGAAAAGTCAAAATCATTATAGTACTCCATAGGATTCAAATATCAATCCCTGTGGGTTCGAAACTTTTTATTTTATCAATATACTGCAAAACTTGACATCGTACACTTGCGGTAAAATCACATTACATAAAACGCGTGGCAAGTTTTTGGCGCCGTTGTGGGGGATTGATTCATTTGAATTCGATTGATATTATTTCAAATTGTCTTTCATTTTAATTTGAATTTCTATCTTAAGTTTAATTTTTATTTATTTATTTACTGATTTTACTTATCTTGTGTTTATTTCTAAAAGTTCCCTTACTTTTATTTTCAGCTGTTTATGTGGAGTGAGAAATCTTTATTTGCTATCTGTTGATCCTGAACTAGAACGTACATTCCACTTTCTAAGGGGTATACAGAGAGGCGAACGTGAAATTATGGCAGAATAGGAGGCAAGATTAGCTAATGAAGATAATTAACAAAGAGCTATTCGTGACTACGTCAGACCCATTGTCAATGACAATTACTCCGGCATCGCGCGCTCAGCTATTGCTGCAAACAATTTCGAGTTGAAACCAGGACTTATACATATGGTGTAGCAGAATTAATTTAGAGGAGGTCCAACAGAGGACCCAAATGCTCACCTGGGCTCATATCTGGAAATTTGTGATACAGTGAAAATGAATGGGGTTACTAAAGATGCAATCAAACTCGTCTATTCTCTTTCTCCTTGAGGGATAAGGCAAAAGCCTGGTTCCAGTAATTACCATACGGGTCACTCACAACTTGGGATGACCTAGCTCAGAAATTTCTTCCCAAGTATTTTCTATCGTCCAAATCAGCTCAACTTCGAAGTGAAATTGGTCAATCCCGACAACTTGACTTCGAACCATTTTATGAAGCTTGGGAAAGATTCAAAGACCTCCTTATAAGATGTCCTCAACATGGATTTCAAAGTTGGATGCAGATTGAAATATTCTACAATGGATTAAATGGGCAAACAAGAACTGTGGTAGATGTAGCTGCGGGAGGCACTTTAATGGCTAAAACAGCAGATGCATCGTACTCCTTATTGGATGACATAGCCACAAATAGTTACCAATGGCCAAGTGAGAGGTCAAGTGTAAAGAGAGCAGCAGGACTTCATGAAGTGGATCCTATAACAACATTAGCAGCTTAGGTTTCATCACTCACAAATCTGATAGCAACACTTACCACTCAAGGAAACCAACAGAAAACAGATTCAATTATGACTGCCTCTTCATCACACCAGGAAACAGAGATAGCAAATGAGCAAGCTCAATATATCAATAACAGGAACTACAATCGGAGAGAAACTACTCTTCTAATCACTATCATCCTGGGTTGAGAAATCATGAAAATCTATCTTATGGCAACAACAGAAACACACTTCAACCTCCACCTAAATTCAAGACTCAGAATTTTGAAGGGAAACCATCCTTAGAAGACATCCTTGGAACCTTTATCTCTGAAACAAGATCATACTTCAACAAGGATGAGTCACGTTCTGACAACATTGAAACGCATGTGTCCAACATGGGAGCTATGATGAAGAATCTTGAAGTTCAAATTGGTCAGTTGGCTACAACAATGAAATCTCAGCAACAGGGAAAATTTCCAAGTGATACGGAAGTCAACCCGAAACTATAAGGCTGTTGTATTGAGGAGTGGCAAGCAAGCTAGAGAAATTGGACCCGTAGAAAAAAGCATTTCCACACCTGTCAAGGAAGAAGGAAAAGTAGCAGTAGAGTAAGAAAATCAGGCTAAGGGAACACAAAAGCCTCACAGACCATATTCCATATCATTCCCTGACAACCTACTAATCATCAAACCAGTACTTCCATTCCCACAACATTTTCAAAGAAAAAATTTGTTGGTCAATTTGCTGAATTTTTGGAAATTTTCAAGAAAATTCACATTAATGTTCCTTTTGCAGATGCTTTGGAATAAATGTCGAACTACACAAAGTTTATGAAGGGAGTGAGGTCAAAGAAACGGAAGTTAGAGGAGTATTAAACAGTGAAATTGACAGAAGAATGCAGTGCTATCCTTCAAAAGAAACTTCCCCAGAAAAGAAAAGATCTAGGCAGTTTTACTATTCCCTGTATCATTGGAAACTCCTATTTTGACAAAGCCCTCTGTAATCTTGGAGCAAGCATCAACCTGATGCCTTTATCAGTGTTCAAGAAGTTAGTTCTTGGGGAAGTCAAGCCAACAACGGTGACTCTACAACTAGCTGATAGATCCCTCACATACTCCCGAGGGATTATTGAGGATGTGTTAGTAAAGGTCGACAAATTTATCTTCCCAGCCAATTTTGTTGTATTAGATATGGAAGAGGATCAGGAAATCCCATTGATCTTAGGCAGGCCATTTTTAGCAACAGGAAGAGCATTAATTGATGTACAAGGAGGCCTCGCATCTAACATTAAAAGTGAATGAAGAAGAAGTGAGATTCAACACTACCAAGCAATGAAGTACGCGGATGACACTGACACTTGCCACGGAATTGACTTCATTGATTCTGCTGTGAGAGAAGAGCAATTATGCATTGAAGACCCCTTGGAACAGTGTATGATGTTCAGTGCAACAAATGATGAAATAAAAACTTTTGAAAGGTACACAGGAAGCAAGGATTTAGTTGATTGCATATTAGCTCTTGAATCTGCACCAATTGAGGAAACTTGTCGCAGTGCGAAGATATTAAGCAGTTAGTGGGTTCAGATGATAAAGAGAGTAATGTAAACAACAAAATTGAATTGAAGCAATTACCAAATCACCTTCGCTATGCATTCTTGGAGGACAATTCTACATCTCCAGTTAACATTTCTTCATCACTCACAAGGGATGAAGAAGACAGATTATTGAAAGTGTTAAGGGAACACAAGGCTGCTTTGGGATGGTCCATAGCTGACATCAAGGGAATAAGTCCTACAATTTGCATGTATTGATTAAACCATCCATTGAACATCAGAGAAGGTTAGACCCAGCCATGAAAGAAGTAGTTCAAACGGAGATATTAAAGCTATTGAAGGCATGGATTATATTTTCTATTTCAGACAGTGAATGGGTTAGTCCAGTACAAGTAGTACCAAAGAAAGGTGGGATGACAGTAGTTAAGAAGGATAATAATGAGCTAATTTCAACAAGAACAATAACTGGCTGGAGGGTATGTATTGATTACATGAAGTTGAACATAGCAACTAGAAAGGACCATTTTCCACTCCCATTCATTGATCAAATGTTGGATAGATTAGCGGGTACTCTCATTATTGTTTCCTTGACGGGTACTCGGGCTACAATCAAATTACAATAGCACCAGAAGATCAGGAAAAGACAACATTCACCTGCCCTTAAAGAACTTTTGCCTATAGACGGATGTCATTCGGACTATGCAATGCACCGGCTACTTTTCAAAGATGTATGATGGCGATTTTTACAGACATGGTGGAGGACATCATGGAGGTACTTATGGATAATTTTTCTGTGCTTGGCACTTCTTTTGATAACTGCCTGCATAATCTCTCGTTAGTGTTGCAACACTGTTAGGAAAAGAAATTGGTTCTTAACTGGGAGAAATGCCATTTTATGGTACAAGAAGGAATTGTGGTAGGCCACCATGTTTCAGCAAAATGGCTTGAAGTTGACAGGGCAAAAATTGATACAATAGCAAAGCTACCACCACCACCACCAATGTCAAAGGCATTTGGAGTTTCTTGGGTCACGTTGGATTCTACAGGAGGTTTATCCAGGACTTCTCAAAAGTAGCTAAACCTTATGCAACCTATTGGAGAAGGACACAACATTCTTGTTTGATGAAGACTGCTTAAAGGAATTTGAAACAATAAAGGAAAAACTAGTTACTGCTCCAGTGATGGTAGTACCAGCTTGGGATCAGCTGTTTGAAGTTATGTACAATGCTAGTGACTACGTAGTAGGGACAGTTTCAGGACAAAGGCGTGATAAGGTATTTCGGGCAATTCACTATGCTAGCAAAACTTTTAATGGAGCTCAACTGAATTACACCACAATAGAAAAAGAGATGTTAGCGGTAGTCTTTGCATGTGACAAATTCAGACCCTAAGAGATCATTTACACTGACCATGCTGCAATTCGATATCTAATTGAGAAAAAAAATGCCAAGCCATACCTAATTCGATGGATACAACTACTACAGGAGTTTGGTGTAGAGATTCGAGATAAAAAGGGTAGTGAGAGTGTCGTTGCAGATCATCTCTCACGATTAGAGAATGAAAAGGTGGTGAATGAGAGTTAAATTCGAGAGACTTTTCCTAACGAGATCTTGTTAGTGGTGTCATCAAAGATCCCATGGTATGCTAATTTTGTTAACTATTTGGTATCTAGAAGATTACCACCGGACTTGACCTCTTATCAAAAGAAGAAATTCCTACACGATATCAAGTCATATTTATGAGATGATCCGATACTCTTCAAGAGGCGCGCGGATAGAATAATCAGGCGATGTGTCCCTATGCCATTCCTCACCTTATAGAGGTCATTTCAGTCCTACACGCGCAGCTTCCAAAGTGTTACAATCTGGATTCTATTGGCCAAACCTATTTAAAGACTGTTATGCGTTTGTGAAGACATGTGATCGTTGTCAGCATACTGAAAACATTTCAAGACATCATGAGCTGCCACTAACTAATGTGCTTGAGGTGGAGTTATTTGACGTATGGGGTATAGACTTCATGGGTTCGTTTTCGCCAAACTTCGGTCAGGTATACATTCTTCTTGTAGTATGTATCCAAATGGGCTGAAACCATTACCACAACAACAAATGACGCAAAGATAGTTTTGAAGTTTCTACAGAAACATATCTTCACTCATTTTGGCACGCCTAGGGCGATAGTAAGTGATGAAGGTACACATTTTTGCAATAAGTTGTTTAATTCTCTTTTGGCTAAATACGATGTGAAACACAAATTGTCACTTTGTTATTACCCACAATCAAATGGGCAAGTAGAGGTATCCAATAGAGAGATTTAGCAGATTTTGGAAAAGACAGTCAACACCAACCGTAAGGACTGGTCCCTCAAACTAGATGATGCTCTTTGGACATACCGAACTGCCTTTAAAACACCAATTGAAATCTCATCCTACCATCTGGTATTCGAAAAAGCTTGTCATCTATCGGTGAAATAGGAGTATAGAGCTTACTGGGCTATGAAGAAGTTGAATTTGGATATGAAATTGGCCGGGCCACAACGCTTGTTGCAGCTAAATAAATTAGAGGAATTTTAGAATAATGCCTACGAAAATGCAAAAATATAAAAGGAATGAACAAAAATGTGGCATGACAAGAGAATCTTAAGGAGGGAGTTCAAGCCAGGAGAACAAGTCCTTTTATTTAACTCTCACTTGAGACTCTTTCCGGGCAAGCTTAAATCACGGTGGTCGGGACCGTTTGTGATTCGTAAGGTGTTTCCTTATGGTGCAGTGGATCTAGTGAGCAAGGATGGGTCTACTTTTCAGGAAAATGGACAACGCCTTAAGCATTACTATGGAGGGGACAACCGAGATGTGGAAGAAACTATCCTTGAAGAACCCACTTAAATCCACATCCACGTCCAGTTAAAAACGTAAAAGAAGTGCTTCTTGGGAGGCAACCCAAGCTTTCTTCCCTTTTATTTATTTATTTTCTTATTATTATTGTTTTAATATAGGATAATTCGGTTTATTTTATCGTAATTAGGAACCATGATCCATATCCCTAAGGTCTCTTAATACTTCAGTTAGTTATTAAATTTTTGAGCTAAGTAATACTTGTTCTAGATACTTAACGTTTAAAATTTGATTTTATAGGAACATGACATCGCGGATGAATCAAACCAAAAGTAACATGAGAAAATGAAGCATACGTTTAAAATTTGATTTTATAGGAACATGACATCGCGGATGAATCAAACCAAAAGTAACATGAGAAAATGAAGCATACATCAAGTTTGGAGAAAGGTTAAAGGAGTCAATTCATATTCAGCATAATTGTACCGAATTGTCACTAGCAATTCAGATAATTTAGGAAAGTTTTCCCTCATTTCTTTTAATTTCACATTGAGGTTAATTTTTTTTATTTTACGTTTGGGGGTGGGAAAGAGAAATTGTCTAAATGCCTAATTTAAATTTTCTGTTATTTTATGTGTTGAGCATGTGTTTTTTTATATTAAAAAAATAAATTTATTAAGTCGGCGCGCGAGCACCAGCTTGTGGCCTCGCACGCTCGAGGCCACTCTCAAAACGAGCAGGGGCTAAAATGCCCCAATCGTGCGTGCATGACTAACATAGTTGCGCTCGCTTGCGGCTACTAAGGGTTGGGTTTTTTTAGCCCCAATCGTGCGTGCATGACTAACATAGTCGCGCTCGCTTGCGGCTACTAAGGGTTGGGTTTTAAAAACCCAACCCAACCCCTCACTCTCCACACATAAACAATACGAACCGGCGCCTCTCTTTCGACAATTTCAGTAGTTTCAACAAATTTTCACGTAATTTTTCTCCAAATTCTTGTGGGCATTGACATTCTAGCAACATACAACAAGCTTTATCAACTATTTCACAATCTAATCTACAAATTTTCGAGAATTCAAGGTACATTGCTACATTTTCAAGGGTTCGTGTGTTTCGCTATTTGCCTTATATTCTTGCATCTTTCTAACCATTCTCGATTAATTTGGAGGTGGGCTTAGATAAACCTTGGTTTGCTTGAGTATGTTGGATGAATTGGAGAATTAGTAGCTTCCATGTCAAACATGTCCAACCATATATATATATATATATACTAAAAGAGGGGGGTCCCTGAAAAAGAGGTTATTTCAAGGATTTTAAGACTGTTGTAGGGGGGTTGTTAAAACAATTATGAAAAATCCTACTCAGTACTCTTCTTAATTGAGATTTCTTTTTCTTTTGGTAAAATAATATCCCTTTTTTTTTTTTTTTTTTTTTAAACATGCCATCTGAGATATATGAACTTGGGCCTAACTCCATTCTTGTAAGGACACCACTGGCACTCCCTTAACAAGAATTCTTAAAACAGTGATCCCTTTCTCTCTTCTATGCGTATCCTAGCCTCTTCACTGGGCCTTTACGCTTTGAGAGATCACTCATGGCTTATTTTAAAAACAGTTTAACCTTTTAACTTGGAGTTAAGACATGCTATTATCATATACCCAGCATGAAGCATAAAAATCTTTACAAGAATCATAAAAATTTTATAAACAGAAACTGTTCTTAAAAGATCTGGGACTAATATTAACTATTAGCACCATATCTAAGAACTATAAACATACCTACATGAATGATCCATCTGTAGTTTAAAACAAAATATCAAAATCTCAAAATATTTTTGTGGGATATTATTCTATCTAAGAATAAGAACAATTAAGAATTTCCCTTTCGGGAAGAAAAGAAAATTAGAACATCTTTGAGATAACTCAAGGCTTTGTATTGTATAAATTTTCTTGTGTATTTACAAATGAAAGAATGATCTCCTTTTATAGGAGAAAAAAGAGAAAGGAAGCGTTTTTCAAAAGCAAGGAATCTTTGTTTTTTTCAAAACGTCAAAAAGAAAACAGTAAAAAGCTATACTATCAAATCTTACTTTATAAAACAGTAAGATTCTTTACAAATTTTTCAAAAAGAAAACAGTAAAAATCTACTTTTCATACAATAATTCTTGAGATTTCTTGAATTCGGGACACAAAAGTCTTGGATTGATTGAGCCTAATCTGAAAAACTCTTGTCTTTTTGCCAAATGTCTGAGTAATTTCTTATCTTGTTGCATAATTGTGTCTGCCAATACTGTCTAAAGAATCTCCTCCGTCAGTACATCCATCTGGATTGTCTTCTTCTGAATTATTGTCTTCAAAATGATCCAAATCTTTTTCTTGTTCAATTTTCTTTTTACCTTTATTTTTCTTTTTAATCTGTATTTTCTTTTTCTTTGTAGTACTTTGTTTAACTTGCTGCTGTATTTCTTCGATCTTTTCAAACATTTCTTTGATTCTTCTGATGTCTGATTGAGAAATCTGTTCTGGATCTTGAGCTGATTGAAATGATTCTGGAAGGTTAATTGGGCTTTTCTGTTTAAGGTCCATTGGACTTATAAGTCTAATAATAGAATTTCCAGTCTGCTGTGTCTGGTCTTCAGAAAAATTTTTATTTTCTGTAACAGGATTTTCAGCCTGTTGAGTCTGATTAAATTGAAAAGTAGGGGAATCAAGAAGTATGAAAGAGCATTTAAACATGCTAAAAAATATTTTTGATCTTTTGGATTCTTATTGTAAGATATCCATAAATTATCTAAAATGCATTTTTCTGATTTAGTAACTGAAATATGAGAGAGTGTCTTAAAACTAATATTACTGTTTGGAAAACAAAGTAACTCTATATTACCAAATCTTAACTTATCATGAGTCTGTAGTATATTTGTCTGAGAACTGGAACTGCCAACAATTGGCAATCCTGGTCTGGGACCTCTTGGTCTTTGCATAATAAATGATCAGTCATATTCTTTATTTTTAATTATTCTACTTAAAATATCTGCAATCTGATTATCACTACCTTTAATATGTTCAAAATTAATTACTAATCCAGTATTAGTTATTCTGTCTATGAAATTTAACCATCTTCTTCTATTACTTCTTTTATTTTCTAATTTCATTTTATTAACAAAACTTACAATTGCTTCACAATCTGTTCTTAAAGTAATTTCTTTTTTAGAAATAATAAATAATTCAAAAGAATCTAAAGCATAATTTACTGCAAGTAATTCTAAATCTATGCTACTTATATTACCTTTTTCTTTATAATTTCCACTATTATATCTTACAATTTTTTCACTATCTTTATCTGCATATTTATTGGGTTTTGCAATTAAAATTGCTCCCCATCTTGTTATACTTCCATCTGTTTCTATAATTAGAAAATCTGTTTTTAATGGCATAGATAATTTAGGTAAATCTTTTAATTTTTCTTTTATTTTTTGAACTAATTTAATATCTTCTATATTAAAGTATCTTTGACCTTTTGGTGAAGTTTTTCCATATAAAGGTCCTGCAATTTTTCCTAGGTTTTTAATAAAGAGTATAGTATAATTTACTAATCCTAAGAATTTTTGTAATTGTTTAAGATCTTCAAGTTTATCTGGAAAATCCAAAGCTTTCTGAGCTATATGTGGTTGTAATTCTATTTTTCCTTTACCTATATTTACTCCTAAAAATTCTATCTATTCTTTAAATAAAAACATTTTCTTTTTATTTATAATTAAGCCATGTCTAATAAATTCTGAAAATAGAATTTGTAAATGACCTCTATGTTCTCTCCTATTTTTACTAAAGACTAAAATATCATCTATATAAACAATAATAAATTTATTATGTTTACTAAAGATACTATCCATTTTTCTTTGGAAAATACTAGGGACATTTTTTAATCCAAATGGCATAACTAACCATTCAAAATGTCCTTCTCGACTAGTAAAGGCTGTCCATTCTATTGAATCTGGGTGTATTTTTACTTGCCAAAAACCAGATTTTAAATCAAACTTACTAAAAATATTACAATCTTGAATTTTGTTTATTAAAACTGTTTTGTCTGGAATATTATAAGCATCATCTATTGTATTATCATTTAATCTTTTATAATTAATTACCATTCTACTTTTTCCTCTAATAATTTCTGGGTGTTTTCTAACTATAAAAGCTGTTGATCCATGTGGACTTTCTGATTTTCTAATTACTCTTAATTTTATTAAATCTTTTATATGCATCCTAAAATCTTCCTGATCTTGATTTGTTGCTTCAATATTTTTTGTTTTTATTATATATTCTGGATTTTTTATTTTTAATTCACATAAAATTTTATCTTTTTCCCAATATTTTAATATATTTTCTCCTAAAATTTCTAATTTTTCTAATTTACTTATCATATTTTCTATATCTTGTTCTGTTACTAAAAGATTATAAATTTTTTCAATTTCTACAAAATCTAAACATATATCTTCATCTTCCTCAAGACTTTCATAGTATTTCTATTAATTGACATTCTCTTTCTTTACTACACTCACATTCTTTTTCTTTTTCTGTTATCCCACCACGCTTCTCAGCAAACTCTGATGGAATAATTTTAGTATAAGTAGGTGCACAAATTGTAAATTTTTGTAATTGCATGTAATCTTTACTAATTATTATACTACCATTATCTTTTAGTAAGAAACTTAGTCCTAAGATTAAATCTGTATTTAAAGATAA